GGATTTTCCTGTGTGTTTGGGTTCGTGAGGATTTGTACCATCACATAAGTAGTTTGAAGGTCTCATGCGTTGGCAGGGGAATCATGGGATACCTTGGAAATAAGGTACAAAATTTCTATTTGTTCCAGTTCAAAATTAAATCAATAAGGTATAATATTTATTGTTCCAATTCATTGTATAAATGATTAGGTAAATGCTACATTAATCCCGTCATAGAATGATTTCGTGAAGGATTTTAGCCATTAGATAAACATGTAACTTCCATATATCTGCAATAAATGTATATCTAATGGATAAAAACCTTCACGAAATCATTATGTGACGGAACTGTATGTAGTCTTTTCCATTAATTAAATATCTATCTATCACTATAAAATACGATAAAAAAAAAAAATGTTTGAAGAACTTGAAAAAAATTCTTTAGTTTTCCCGCTTCCTTTTCCCGCATGTTATTCATCCAATTGAATGGAATATGAATTCGCCGTGATTTTAAAATATGAGATCTTATCATCGTGATGAGATTCCTGATATATTATAACTTCTACTTTTTTGTCAATTTAATCGAACTAGTCAGCTTTTTTTGTCAATTTAATCGAACTAGTCAGCTGGTCGATGCCCTTTTGTAACGTCTAGCGTGAAATACGATAAATTTTTATATAAGCTCGATTGGTATCGGTAAGATTGTGTAAAGTCTAAACAATAACATTTATTTTTTTTCGACATATATGCATACTTTTGAACTAAAATATCATTTTTTGAAAAAATCAATACAAACAAAAATAATAAATGTTTGTTTTTTTTATTATTTAAATGTTAGGGAGCAATATCTGTGAGCATGGTATTGGACAAGACATCATTTTGCTTTGTGTGTACTCACTTAGCCTCTGGAGATAAAGGGGGTGATGCCATTAGAAGGAATTTAGATGTTATGGAGATTATGAAGAGAACAACATTCTCTCATCCATTTGGATTAATACAAGGAAAATCAATGCCACCACAAAATATTTTGGATCATGAGTAAGCTCCATTTTTCTTAATTATTTATTATATAAATATTAAATTTGGTTTAAATTTTATTTTATTTTATTTTTTTATTTTTAAGTTATGATTATTTTTATTTTAGCAAGATAATTTGGCTTGGAGACTTGAATTATCGGTTGTCATCAAGTTGTGGGGATACATATGAGCTACTACAAAAAAATGATTGGCAAGCTCTTCTAGAGAAAGATGAGGTTAGGCCTATAAATTATTGAAATTATTATTATTATTGAGAGATTCTACGGTCCCGTTGCAGAACCATTTCATCGGAGTTTGTAACCGTTAGATCAACTATCCATGACGGTTACGTCATGATCTGACGACTACAAATCCCAACGAAATAGTTCCGTAACGAGACTGTAACATTTTCCATTTTTTACTGTGTTTCGCATTGTGATAGTTGAGAATAGAGCAAAAGGCTGGTCGAATATTCAAAGGATGGGAAGAAGGAGAGATATTTTTCGCTCCGACATATAAATACATCACTGATTCCGACCATTACGTAGTTCAAACGTCGTCTTCAAAAGAAAAACGACGCACTCCTGCTTGGTAAATATCTTAATCTAATTTAACACTACAATATAAATAAAAGTATAATATTTTTATAATAAATAATGACTAGTAAATAGTAATATTTTCAAGAGGTTAAAATTACTAAAATAACCCTCTATATTGACTCATGTTATATAAATTAAATGTTATTTTGGTAAATATCTTTTTATGCTGCACGCCTTCACTTGTTCAGTAACTTTTTAAGTCAACTATAGTTCATAGGACGGTCATTATGGTGATAAAACATGCCAGAAAATATTAAGATTTTAATTAATCTGTGTAACTTTTTACACGTATTAGTCAAATGTTGGACTGTGATTCCTACGACTAACGAGGTCAACCAAACAAAAAGTAAAAAAAAAAAA